CATCCCAGCGGGTGGCTGTCTGCTCCTGCCTGCCTGTCAGCTCCAGAGAGTGACTGCTCTCAAGGGACACCTTTCCCAGTCCTGTGTGCAAGTAGCAGCCTGGGTATACCCCAGCTCCTCTGGAACCTGTTTCTTACCCTTTTTTATTTTATTAGGAGAGTGAACAGCTCCAACAAGCTTGTTGCCAAGAAAAATGGGATTTGTTTCCCAGTGTGCAGCACAGCACACCATAATTACACACTCAAGAAAGACAGTGATTATTTATTCTGTTTGCAAAAGCCTGGGTGCTCAGTGGTATTCCACAAATCAAGCACACTGACTAACAAAACTTTTTCCTATTTATACATTCCAGTGTATATCTAGAAGAACACTCTCTGTGTTCATCCACCTACCTGGACAGTGTCACCCATCATCGGTCTTCATCTCCCACCCAGAGCTCAATCTGTATCTCAAACTGCAGCTTGCAAAGGGAGCTACTCAGACCAGATGTATTCCTCAGCATTAGCAGACACAGGTGTTAATGTTCCTTGCCTACAAGTTACATAGTTCTCTTATTAATTACTATTCTATCGGTTGATCATTCTCTCAATTCTTATGCTGGACATCACTTAGAGCTTGTTAGTTACTATCTGTTTCACAGATTAAATCTCCTTTCCTGTTGATTAAGCTTGGAAGTATACAAACTGCAACCCCTCTGCAGTTACTGCGTGACTGGGTGGAGCAGCTTCCTGCCTTCCTTAGTGCCACAAACCCATTGCTACAGTCCACTGGCATTTATGGGGCAAAACCCACACACATGTACAGATGGATCTGTTATCCAAGGCCTCCAGCTTTTTGCTCACTTGCTCACTTTCGGTCAACCCTGTAGTCCCATCTGAGCTGGAAAGGTAGCAGGCTGCTCAATTCTCCATGGAAATTTTTAATCCACGCCCAGACAAACACACACATCCCCTACACCCCAACCCACTACTCCACCTCAAATACTGATGCAGTGGGAGTGAAATTTCCATCATCTCTCTGCCCAGATTTTCAACAGTTTAACAAAAGGGGAGCTTTTCCTGGGCAGTTCAGCTCTTTCTAGACTTCCTTTGGATGCAGTTCTCCAGGATACTTGCACATGTTATGGTTCACAGCTCTGGTAGGTATTCAAGCCCACTTCTCACTCCTGTGAGAGTCCATTAACTCCACAAAGAGCTCAGAGCTGATTACATTTGGGGCACCAGATTACATTTCCCTCCAACACCCACTCCCTTGAAGAGCCCTCACAATTAATAAGCTGCAGCAATGCTGATGCACTGCCCTGTTCCTCCTTAGAGCCCAGGGAGGGACAGAAGGAGGGTAGAAAGAGGCTGAACATATCTGTTATTGCTTCCATTTATACCTAAGCAGTCCTGGCCCCCCTCAAAGACAGATTCCCATCAAAATGAGCTTCTGTCTCAACAGGAGGGCATCAAGTCTCTACTCTGTAGTAGCTCCATTTTAAAAATAATGCCATATTTGTTCAGTTTAATGTTAGTAGTGTCCTATCAGCAAAACCACTGTTTAGCACTGCTATAATTGCTTACACAGTTTCTACATATTTATTTTGGTAAAAGACCCACCTGCTGGATTCTTAGGGGTTTACAAGCTGCTACAAAATGAACTTAAAAACATACACCTACAGGAAACAATTTATCTCAGCTTTTCCAGCTGCTCCACTAACCAACCAAAGACCCGTCTAGTCAAGAATATAAGACTATTGTTTCCTTATAAATCCATGCATAATTAAATATTAAACAACTAAGTCTTTCCATAACTTTGAAACAGAGGTATAGAACTCAATTCCGTTTGGGGAATTTCGTGTTCAACAGGCTTTACAGACTCAAATGGTTGTAGAAAGCCAAGGAGACACAAGAACTCAGTGTGCTGGGAGGCAGGAAATATCATCAGCACTGGCATTGTTGAGTTCTGCTACATAAAGACTGTCAGGATCAGGAGCCAAAGGCATTTTTTCGACTTTTGGTATCTTTACAGTCTGGTGGGAACTCAAGGC